TGTAAACTCACAGAGTACAAGGACAGTAGAGTATGCTTTCGTTTATTCTAGACCATCTCTGTCCCATGGAAATATAACATAAACCACGTATGCCATTAAAAATTTTCTAGTTAGCACATTTTAAAAAGTGAAAAGAAACAGGTAAAATTAATTTTAATATCTTTTATTTAATCAATATATCCAGAGTATTATTATTTCAACATGTAATCAATAGAAAATATTATCAATGAGATATTTTGCATTCTTTCATTCATACAAGGTTTTCAGTTTCCAGTGTGTATTTTACATGCACAGCACATTTCAGGTGAGCTAGCCGCATTTCAAATGCTCAGCAGCCAGGCGTGGCTAGTTGCCCTCATACCAGAGTATGTCACTCACACAGGGCACATGGTAAATGTCTAATAAATGACTGCATTTAGTACTTCCCATGACGTGCTTTACACTTACTTTCTAATCCTCATAGCACCCTTATGATAGAAACTGTTATGCCCATTTTCCATACGAGCAAACTGAGAGTTAAGAGCTTTCTTGCACCCAACTAGTAAGTAAGTTATAAAGCTCAGATTTGAACCCAACTCTGAGTCCAGAGCCTGTCCTTAAAATAGAATATTCGAGCCCTGGAAGATTCTTTAGAAAATTATTCAACATGTCAGCTCCATAAATATCACTTGTGTTCCCAGCACCTAGTCATGTGTCAGCCATGTCTCAGGGGCTCAAATATAGTATTTGAATGAATTAATCTGGTCTCACATTACAGATGTGGAAATTGAGATCCAGAAAGGGAAAGAGACTTGTCTAGATCACTCAAAAGGAGGAAGTCTGGACTAGAACCCACATTGCTGGTTCCTACTCTTATTCCATATCCTTCTGTCATCCCAAGAAACATAGGAGTTCAGCATCTGAAGCTTTCTTTGCTTTGGGGGAAACATTTTAGCAGGCGCCCTCTTCCCTCTGTCCGCAACCTCAGAACTTGCCATACATCGTCCTTTTTCATTCCCTTCCTCTCCTTTCTCTGGCTACCCAGCAGCCTAAAGGGTGGCAGAGCAGCTGAGCCTGGCTACGTGAGGCTCCAAGCGAAGCCTGCACAAACAAGCAAAGCTCATTGCACATGGACACCACCCCCAGTTTCTATCTCAGGGTCATGCTCTGTCGTGACAACTTGAGCCATTTCCCTGGCAGGAGGGCAGCACGAATCTCCAAGAGGGTCACGCTAACCTGCAGCCAGTGGCTGCCTGCCATGCCTGGATGCCTGGCATTGGAGCCTGGTTGCTGAGGCACCCTCGGACTTGCTCAGCGCCCAGCCAGTCAGCAGCCTTCCAGGGAACTCCCAGCAGTCTCCTCCAGACAGGGTCACAAGAAATGTCATAGATTGTAGAAGCTTAGAACTGAAAGGGAATTTAAAGATCATTCATCCCAGCACTTTTCAAACTGTAATGTCTTATAAATCTCCTGCGGATCCTGTTAAGCTACAGACTCCTGATTCACTGGGCCTGGGATGGGGTCTGAGGATTTGCATTTCTAATGAGCCCCCAGGTGATGCCAGTGCTGCTGCTAGACCTGGGACCACACTTTGAAAAGCAAGGATCTAAAAACTCAAGAAATACAGAGGACTTGTTTGTGAAGGGCCTGGTCCACTGAACTGAGGGCCTGTGCACCTGGGAACCTAGAGGAGAGAGATAGCTAGACAGGGTAGCAGCGTAGCATTGATGTAGTAGAAGGCGAGGCCATCTTTGATTCTTCCTGGGTATCCAGGCTCATGTTTCCATGTAAAAACCTTCCCTTTACACAGTGTTACATCCTTGTCAGCCTTTTGTTAGAGGTGAGAAAACTTAAGTGTGGGGGAGATTAATTAAATTCAGGGTACAAGTCTCCTAAGTAATAACTATGGCACTAACTGTATTTACTATCTGTAGAAATTTTTGGCACTCATCATAGACTACTTTAATATCTTCTTCTTCCAACTAGACTGTTGGAAGCAAGGCTGTATCTTACTCTCCTGTGTATCTCTCTTTGGTCCCACTCGAGAGGCCACATGAGCTGTGGAAAGCACATTACCTGGGACAGGGTCACCTGAGGTCTTTGTATCAGATGTTCCTGGGATCAGAGGCACAGTGGAATGAGCCCCAAGTTGAAACCAGAAAGACCTCAGCAGGTAGCAGACCTGAAGTGCAAGGTGAGGCTGGAAGTGGAAACAGAGTGCAGGAGTTGGCAAGCTGTCCACAGGGTTGGGTAGAGTTGTTCTGAACTCAGTCCATGGATTGAGAGGGAAGGCTGCTGGCTCACCTCGTTATGTGGTGCCCAGAGCATGAGAAAGAGGCAGTGGGGCCATTTTTCAAGCAAGGAGCCAGACCCAACACCAGGTTCCTCCCAAGGCTCAAGGATTTGTTGAATAAATGCACAAAGAAAGGCCAAAAAAGACATAGCAGTGATACTTAAACATTTTTAAAGACTCCACGTGCTCGGCAACAGTTACACACTTTCTGGCACACTTCAAAAGTGGCAATAGCCAGGTACAGTGGCTCGTGCCTGGCGTCCCAACAACATGGGAGGCTGAGGCAGGACGGAGCACTTGAGCAAGAGCTGATGAGGCTCCATATGCCAGGATCCGGACCCCTGCATCCAGCGAGGGGCCAGAGGGAGACCCGTGAGCTCACCCGTAGGACTGTAAGAGGTGGAGTGGCGTGGCTTCTGCTTTTTTTGAGACAGGATCTTGCTCGGCTCCAGAGGGGGCCCAGCGGGGGAGGATGACTCGCACTGGCAGGCGCTCAGAGCGGCTGGCGGAAGCGGGGGTGGGTCGAGCCGGCTAAGTTAAAATTTTGTGGAGACGACGGTTCACTGTTTGCCCAGGTTGGCTCTTGAACCCTGCCTCAAGCGATCTTCCCACCTTGCCCTCCTAAAGGGGCGTGGATTGTAACAGGAGCACGGAGCCTGGCATAGGTTTCGTATGAGGTTAAAAGGCAACTTTTCTTGCTTTCTTTGTTTTTTGTGTTTGTTGATGATGAGTCTTACCCTGTTGCCGCGAGTCTGGAGGTCAATGCGCAGATCTCGGGCTCAGTACAACCTCGCCTCTGGGTTCAAGCGTAGTCTGCTCAGGGCGCTGCCCGAAGGAATCGCCAGGATTTAGAGGTGCCACGCCACCACACCCAGCCTAATTTTTTTTTTGGTTAGGTAGTAGAGATGGGGTTTCACTATGTTGGCCAGGCTGGTCTTGAACTCCTGACCTTGTGATCCACCCACCTCGGCCTCCCAAAGTGCTGGGATTACAGGCATAAGCCACCACACCCAGCCAAAAGTCAGTTTTTCTTTAGATCAAGCTTGTCCAACCCATATCCCACGGGTCTCACGCAGCCCAGGACAGCTTTGAATGTGGCCCAACACAAATTCATATAAACTTTCTTAAAATATTATGAGACTTTGTTGTGATTTTTTTCTTAAGCTCATCAGCTACCTTTAGCATTAGTGTATTTTATGTGTGGCCTACGGAAGCCAAAAGATTGGACACCCCTGCTTTAGATGTTAATAAGTTGGGTTCTGTTCAGAGCAGACACAAAGCCAAGCTCAAGCCCATAGACATGGACTGCCAAACAATGTGGCCCAGTAGATGCTGGAGGTCAAAGATCATCCAGGTGTATCTGCCTGCTGTGGTGCTTATTTTTCCAAAGGTAGGAAAAGAATATGATGAAAAGACAAGCCACAGTCTGGGAGAAAATATTTGCAAAACACACATCTGATAAAGGAATTATGTCCAAAATATATAAGGAATTCTTAAAACTCAACATAAGACCAACAGTGCAATTAAAAAGTGAGCAAAAAATCTGAACAGACACTTCACCAAGGAAAATATACAGATGTCAAATAAGCATATGAAAAGATCTTCAGCATCATATCAACAAGGAAATGCAAATTAAAACAACAATGGGATACTATTACACCCCTGTTAGAATGGTTAAAATCCAGAACACCAAAGATGCTGGTGAGAATGTGGAGCAACAGGAACTCTCATTCACTGCTGGTGGGAATGCAAAATGGAACAGCCTCTTTGGAAGACACACTTTCTCAGTTTCTTTCTTTCTTTTTTTTTTTTTAGATGGAGTTTTGCTCTTCTTGCCCAGGCTGGAGTGCAGTGGCATGGTCTCAGCTCACTGCAACCTCCGCCTCCTGGGTTCAAGCGATTCTCCTGTTTCAGCCTCCTGAGTAGCTGGGATTACAGGTGTGCACCACAACGCCCAGCTACTTTTTGTATTTTTCGTAGAGAAGAGATTTCAGCATGTTGGTCAGGCTGGTCTTGAACTCCTGACCTCAGGTGATCCACCTTGGCCTCCCAAAGTGCTGGCATTATAGGCATGAGCCACCGTGCCCGGCCCAGCCATGTACTCTTGTATCTGTTAACCTGTTAGCCAACCTTTGGCTACCCTCCTGCTTATCTTTCCCCTCCTCTAGTAAACACTATTCTAAGCCAATAGATCTTAAATGTTCTTACCACAATAAAGTGATTCTCCTGCCTCAGCCTTAGCCTCCCAAGTAGCTGGGATTACAGGCACCCGCCACCACGCCCAGCTAATTTTTATATTTTTAGTAGAGATGGGGTTTCCCCATGTTGGGCAGGCTGGTGTCCAACTCTTGACCTAAGGTGATCCACCCACCTCGGCCTCCCAAAGTGTTGGGATTACAGGCGTCCGCCACCGTGCCTGGCCAACACTTGGCAGTTTCTTACAAATCTGAACATACTCTTATCATATGACCTAGTAATTACACTTCTTGGTATTTACCCAAATGTATTGAAATTGATGACTGCACAAAATCCTGCACATGATGTTTATAGCAGCTTTATTCATAATTGCCAAAAACTGGAAGTTACCAACATGTTCTTCCATAGATGAATGGGTAAGCAAACTGTAATACATCCATACAATGCAATATTGATCAGGAACAAAAAGACATGAGCCATCGAGCTATGAAGTGATATAGAGAAACCTTAAATGCCTATTTTTCATTTTAAGTGAAAGAAGCCAATCTTAGAAGGCTACATACTGTATGATTCCACCTATCTGACCTTCTGAAAAAGGCAAAGCTACAGAGACAGAAAAAAGGTCAGTGATTGCCAGGTATTCAGGAGGAGGGAGGGAGGAATGAATAGGTGGACCAGGGGATATTTAGGACTATACCTCTACTGTTCTGTATGATACTCTGATGGTGAACACGTGACATTATGGGTCTGTCAAAACTCATAGAAGTAAACAACACAGAGTGACCCCTAATATAAACTATGGACTTTAATTAATAATAATGTATCAATATTGGTTCATCGGTTTTAACAAACAAATGCAACATGTTAAAAATAGGGGAAACTGTAGAGGGTGGGGAAGGGTATCTACGGTAATGCTTTGTACTTTCTGCTCAAGTTTTCTATGAACCTAAAATTTCCATAAAAAATAAAGTCTATTAATTTTTGTAATGTGCTACCAAATTCCAAGAGAAGATCAGTTGCTAGACAATTGCTCAGCCACGTTTTTCCTTAGGCACAAAGATGACCTTACACATCTGCTGCAGATGGCACCTCCACCCAGCTGTCCCCAGCACAGCATTGACTTGTCGAGAGCTGTCCTTTGAGTCTGATGGATTATTGAGACTTTTTGAATGCAGGAAGCACACTCATGGGGCCATCTGAGGGCCTTGTATTATTTCTCTGCCTTTGAAAAGCCACTAAACTAAATTTGGCAGATAAAAATGTGCCTGAGAGATTTCTTTCTTAATTTCTGATTATAAGCCCTGACCTTAAGGAGCTTACAGTCTAGAGTAGATGGTATGTGAACATAAACCGCTATGACACAAGGTAAACTATGATTCATAGTCTGGGAGAGGTACAGTTGAAGTGGGTGGGAGAGAGAGGAAATGCAGCCCCTCCCACTGGCCTCAAGTGGAAGCAGTGACACCAGGTCTGAAAGTTTGGATTGGAGGACCAGGTAGGAGTGGGACTCCTACCCACTCCTATGAAATATGGTCCGGGCTAGGTGTGGTGGCTAACGCTTGTAATCCCAGCACTTTGGGAGCCCAAGGCAGATGGATCACGACATCAAGAGATCGAGACCAGCCTGGTCAACATGGTAAAACCCATCTCTACTAAAACTACAAAAATTAGCTGGGTGTGGTGGCAGGCGCCTATAGTCCCAGCTACTCGGGAGGCTGGGGCAGGAGCATTGCTTGAACCTGGTAGGCGGAGATTGCAGTGAGCCGAGATCACGCCACTGCACTCCAGCCTGGTGATAGAGCGAGACTCTGTCTCAAAAAAAAAAAAGAAAGAAAGAAATACATTCCAAGCAGAGAGAATTCCATAAGCAGAGGCAGAGAGGTGAAAAACTGTGTGTGCACATGCACTGGGAACAGATAGGTGGCTGGAGCACAGTGTAGGAAGAAGGATAAGGAATGGCTTAAAAGGCTGGGGCCAAATAGTGGAAGGCTCTGAATTCCTGGCCAAGGAATTGAGACGGTGTTCAGCAGGCAGTGGGAACCTCTGTGGGTTTGAGTCAGGGAATGAACAGATCACACTGCGCTTTGGAAGAGTCACCAGGTGGCAGCGTATAGGATGTGCCTGTAGCAAGATGCCCAGCAGTAAGAACACCCATCAAGAGGCTACTTCAAGGCAGTTACAAGAACCCAGACAGTTGGAAGCTGTCTCTCCTGCCTCTGCACTCCCATGGCCCTTTGTCAGTACTTCTCTTAGATACTTACCAATTTTCACCTTATCTACATTTTTAATTAAAAATTGTTGTAGTTCATTATAAAGGAAAATTAGACAGTGTAGAAAGATATAAATAGTTGTAATCCCACCATCCATTAAATAACTGCTGTTGACACTCAGGGTCTGTCTGTTCTTTCAGGTATCTGTTTATAGGCCGGGCACAGTGGTTCATGCCTATAGTCCCAGCACTTTGGAAGGCCAAGGTGGGTAGATGGCCTGAGCTCAGGAGTTGGAGACCAGCCTGGGAAACACGGCAAAACCTCATCTCTACAAAAAGTACAAAAATTGGCTGGGTGTTGTGGTACATGCCTGAGGTTCCACCTACTCGGGAGGCTGAGGCAGGAGGATCACTTTAGCCAGGAGGTGGAGGCTGCAGTGAGCCAAGATTACATACTGCACTTCAGCCTGGCTGTTAGAGCGAGACCCTGTCTCAAAAACAAAAACAAAAAACTCAGGTATCTTTCTATATCATCACACTATATTGTTTTGTTTTGCTTTTATAAAAGATAACATACTTTTAGAACCTACTTTTTCAAATTACTGTATAGTGGACATCTTTCCTTGCCAATATATCTAGATTTTTTATAGTTGATTTTTTTCTTTGTTTTTTAAAATTGTGGTAAAATGCACATGAAATTTACTGTTATGACATTTAGCACATCCACAGTGTTGTGCAATCATTACTACTATTTAGTTCCACAACATTTTCATCACCCCACAAGGAAACCCCATTAAAGTCACTCTCGGCCGGGCGCGGTGGCTCAAGCCTGTAATCCCAGCACTTTGGGAGGCCGAGACGGGCGGATCACGAGGTCAGGAGATCGAGACCAGCCTGGCTAACACTGTGAAACCCCGTCTCTACTAAAAAAATACAAAAAACTAGCCGGGCGAAGTGGCGGGCGCCTGTAGTCCCAACTACTCGGGAGGCTGAGGCAGGAGAATGGCGTAGACCCGGGAGGCGGAGCTTGCAGTGAGCTGAGATCCGGCCACTGCACTCCAGCCTGGGTGACAGAGCAAGACTCCGTCTCAAAAAAAAAAATAAAATAAAATAAAATAAAAAATAAAGTCACTCTCTCCCACCAGTCCCTGTCAACCACTAATCTACTTTTTCATCCATTCTATTTCTTATAAATGGAATCACACAATATGTGGCCTTTTGTGTCTGGCTTTCACTTACCATAATGTGTTCAAGGTTCATCATGTTTAGATTTTTTAATAGAAATATCCCTTGTTGGCCAGGCACAGTGACTCACGCCAATAATCCCAGCACTTTGGGAAACTAAGGCAGGAAGATTGCCTGAGCCCAGGAGTTTGAGACCAGCCTGGGCAACACAGTGAGACCCCATCTTTATTTTTTTAAAAAAGAAATATCCCTTGTCTTTTTAACATAAAGCACGCTCATAAACAAAAACTACTGAGAGCTCCCCTCAAAAACGCCACTTCTCTAATTTTAACTGCTGTTAATTACCTAGGATCTAGCCATCCAGACGGTTTAGATGGTTGGGAATTGACAGGGAACCGTCAAATTGCTGCTTTCTTCCAACATATTCTGTCTCCTTCCCTTTCCCATCACCTGATGTGAACTTGGGAAGATGTCTTAGCTTTTCTAGTCACTTTCAGGACTTAGGTTCATTTTCAGATGTTAAAACATCCCATCTAAATCAAAACTTTCGCCTCTCATCCCACTGGCAGACCAGCTCTTCTGCTCTGGCCCCACGCTCTCTGCTCTCTGGCTCCTGAAAGGTGCTTTTGTAAGTTCCCTAGAAACCCAGCGCCTGCGTCCTGCCCACTCCCAGTGCCCCTGGGGAGGGGGTTGCATGCCCCATTCCACTGGACATTCTGCCTAACTTCTTGGGGCTGCTTTCATTTCTCACTTTTGGCACCGTGTCTCTGGGACTCCCCTGGCCCAGGAGGCCACCTTCTTGGGTGGGGGCCTGTCAATATGCCCAGTTATTCACTTGGCCTGTAGGAAGGCCTTAACTAGACAGGGCACTTTTCATATTTGTGGCCATCCTGCATCATTCGAATGTCCCTTCTATATTTGGGGAAATTCCCACATTTAGTCTGTCTACCCGTGTGCAGCCAGGATGCAGCTATGTAACCTCTGCCAACCAGATGAAGCTGTGTGCCCTCGGATTTGGAGAGAGACGTTGGTGTCAGGCAGTGACAACAGTGATGTTTTTACTGAAGCAGTGCTCAGCAGATGCTTGGTGTTCCCGACTTTCCATGCCTCCATTGCTCCCCTGCCCTGCCCCCCGCATTCAGTGTTCTTTAAAAATTTATTCTCTGTTTAAATTAATGAGTTTAGTTTTCACTAAGAACTAACACCACATCCTTGCTTAGCCTCGCGGTTACGGGCAGCTTGCACCCACTGCAGCCCTCTCTCCTCGCCCTGCCATCGCCCACTGTGCCAGCCAGCCTGGGAGTCTGGCATGGGTTCTTCTGCTTATGCACGTCCCCAAGCTCCAAGAGACACACATGAAGCTTGTCTAAGATCCTGCTCCCTATTCCTCCGCAGTCTCGTAGTGTGCTGGGCTGATGAGGTAGCTTACCCAGAGGCGGATGCCAGACTCCCATGCTGCACACAGCCTCACCTAGCTTGAGGGAAAAGGTTTGCACCCCTCCCTCATCCTCAGAGAATGGAAATGCTCTCAGTCTTTACTCCTACGAATCTCCTTCAGAGACACCATCCTGTCCCTCCCCTTCTTTTCTTCCCTCCCCTCCCCTCCCTCTCCTCACTAGTCAATCTCTAGCGTTCTCTCCTGCCCCCATCAGGAGTGGGGGTTGCTGGACCACCTTGACCATCATCAGTGTGTTCCACATAGAGATGGTCTGGCATCTCTCTTTAACAAGTGTGAGCTCTTACCACCTTTGTCCTTATCTTTAGGACATCTACAAAACTCTAGGACAATAGGAAAAGTCTCATTCCAGATCCTGTCTCACACATATTTTCTGTACATAGGGATTGTCAAACATATGTCATCTTTAACCTGCTTGTTTATTTCCTGTTACGTTACAGACAACTTTTCATGTTAATGAGAATGGCACATCCTCATCCATTTTTAAAAACCAGCCATTTTGTTTGAAGTATAATTTACAAACAGTAAAGCACATCCTTGTTCAATGCACATTTGGAACCATCACCACAATCATGATATAGAATATTTCCATTATTCCAGAAAGCTCCCTCATGTCTCTTTACAGTCAGTCTCTCTCATCTCCCAACTCCAGGCAGCCATTTCACCTCATCCTTTTCAATAATTGTACAATAATTCCATAATGTAGAAGTTCTTTAATTTATTTAACTTGTCTCCTATTGATAGATATTTAGATGGCTTCCAGTTTGTGATC